ATCTATCTATCTATCTATCTATCTATCTATCTATCTATCTATCTATCTATCTATCTATCTATCTATCTATCAAATTGAGACATCTCACTCTCTAAGGCAACCTCCAGGGAAGACAGAGAAATACATATGATACAATATTTATCTCTCTTTTATCTAACCTTATTTATGACACATAACTTTTGCACTTTTATGCAAAGTGCAGAGGCAGGAGTAATACAGAATAAACTGAAGAAATTAAAGTATGATTAAGGTAGAAAAAAAATGAACAATAGCCAGCCATTATCTAGGCCCATGTTGGCGAACCTATGGCACACGGGCCACAGGTGGCACACCGAGCCATTTGTTAGGGCACGCAAGGCGTTGCCCTGTCAGCTCCAGCGCACATGTGCATGCTGACCAGCTGACTTCAGCCTTCATTTTCAGCCATTTTTCACCCTCAGGGAAGCCCACATAAAATTAGGGTTATAGCCATGTCCGCGCATGCGCCCCGCCCCCCGTGCTCCCCTCGCTTTTGGCACTTGATGGGGAAAAGGTTAGCCATCACTGATTTAGGATATATCGATTCCATTCGCTTTTACATCGTCATATCTTTCAATGCTTGCAAACTACCTTTCACCCAATCCATGCATAGCATCATACCCTGCTTTTTCTTCTTTAAGCTTTTCATTTTTGTTCTTAAAGATCTCAGGTCTCTTTAACCATGATTTTCACAGTCTTCCTGTTCTTCTTGACCCATTGACTCTTCCTTCTTACCTTCGTCTTGTAACTAAGTCCTCGTTCATTCTTTTTCCATGACCAAGCCAACTGGAAGTACTTACAATGGTTGCTCATTCTTGTATTCAATCCACATTCCTTCACCACTTCTTCTTTCCTGACCTTCCATCTTGTTTGATGACATGAACAAGGAGAGCCAGTCCTTGATTTATGACCACAATTGGGTTTGGGATTCCTGTTGTAAGTCATTGCAGTCATAAGTTGAGTCAGACCCCCATTTTGCTCCCATTTAGCAAAATTAAGCAAACACGGTTTCCCAATGGCCGTTTTTGCTGGAAATCAGCAAAAGAGATCACAAATCAAAACCATGATTGCAGAATGGTGAAACCAGTCTTAAAAGCAAGGTGGCCATTGAGTGCCCAAATTGTGATCATGTGTCCATGAGGTGGTACGATGGTTATAAGTACAAGTTGTAAGTGATGTTTTGCAAGGTCGTTATAAGGAGAGGGTTGGTAGTTTTACGTTTCTGGACATTTATATCTCGGAGGACTTCTCATGGACTATGAATGCTAACATGCTTGCGAAGAAGGCACAGAAGAGGCTGTACTTTCTGAGAATGCTCAGGAAGATAAATCTATCTCAGCATCTACTTCTGTCCTACTATCGCAGCACCATTGAGAGTGTCCCGACATACGGCATTCTTGCATTGTATGGGAGCGGCTCTGCAGCGGACAAAAAAGCTCTCCAGAGAATCATTAAAACTGCCCAGAATATCATCGGACTCCAGCTACCAGCCCTGGATGACATCTCCGCATCTC